TCAGTTGACAATTGAAAGGTGAGTTAATTTCTGGGTTCTTTATTTTATTCCATTGATTTTTGTGCCTGTAATTGTACCAGGAACATGATGTTTTGGTTATTATAGCTGTATAATAGGTCTGGAGATTTGGAAGTGCTATGGCCCCCACTTCTTTCTTGTTTTTCAGCAGTGATACATACATTTCTTGATTTTAAACCAGGCAATGTTTCCTTGTTCTGTTCAGGCAACAGTATCTTGGTCTAGGTATACACTTAGTTAAAGCACAATTAAGCAATCTGGAATTCCCATTCTCTTCAATGTTAGCCATAGTTTGTTATAATGCACACACTCAAATACCTTTGCATAATCAATAAAACATAAATACTGTTCTGCTATTCTTTGCTTTCAGTAAAGATCCATCTGCCATTAACAATGATATCTCTGGTGCACTATTCTCTTCTAGATCCAGCTTAAACTTCTGACAGTTCTCTGCCAATGTGCTCTTCTAGCCATTTTGGATGATTGTCATCAATATTTTGCTTGAATGTTACTTTAATGATAGTGTTTGATAATTTCCACATTCTGTTAGATCACTTTGCTTAGAAATGGGAACAACTACAGATCTCTTTCTGTCAGTTGTCTAGGTAGCTGTCTTCCGAATTTCCTGATACAGATTGGTGAACATGTCTAGGGCAACATCTGTTAGTTGAAGCAAGTCAGTTGGTATCCCATTGACTCCTAAGGCCTTATATTTTGCGATGCCTTCTTATATGTAAAATTTACCTTAGAGCCTTTCTATTATCAGTATCAAGACCACACACTATTAAAAAAAAAAAGAAAACTTTTAAAATTAATCAGTCCATTAAAAAAATGTGAAACTATCCCACTTTTATTTTCACCTCCATATGAGACACATGGAGACCTAGTGAACTGCTAACTGAAAGGCAGGTAGTTCAAATCCACCAGACTCCTCAAAGAAGAAGGATGGAGAGTCTCCTCATAAAGATTTTCAGCTTCAGTAACTCAAAAGATTATTGCTTTAAACTGGAACTGACTTGAAGAGCATGATTGGTGGGACTTATACTTGTTAAAATATAAAAAAGTTGTATTTGTCCTTGTCTAGTTTTATCTTTCCAATAATTTCAATAGGTTTCAGTTCACACTTAACACTCCACTAAAGCTGCTCTTGTCAATGTCACTTATGACTGACTTCCAAGTTGTTAGTTGAATGGTCAATTTTAATTCTCCATGTTACTTGATGATTCAGACTTCCTTGCAATACCATGTTTAGTTGACATATTCTCTGCATTAGTTTGTTCCCCCCCCCCTTTCTTTTTCATTGACAACTGGCTCCCTCTCAGTCTGCTCTGTTATCTCCACCTGTTCCATGAGGTCCTCTTTTCCCTCTTTCTCTATAGCTATTCCCTTGGTGATTTCAATCTTGTATCTTAAAATAACACATACACACTGATGACTCCCATTTTCATCATGACAAGGCAGGATAGGTTACATTATGGTAAGAAATTCACAGTGACTTAATTCAACAGCCTCTTATTCCCTATGCATTCTGCATGTGTACCACGTTAAAGCAGAGGTGTAGGGTTAGGGGATTTACTATAAACAATGTGCCTTCATGAACTCGGGCTCCTGTGGGGAGGGAAGTAATTTTGTCCATCATCTGATACTGTGGTAAATATAGCATTGGTGGTGGTTCATTATTTATTTTTTCTAATTTTTATTGACAGCCTCAGAAGTGGAACTAGTCAAATAAGTCTGCCCGATAGCAAGGAAGTTGACAAGCACACTCTTTCACCTGCCCAGAAGGAGAGACAACAAACTTCATAATTATGACTACTTCTTAAGTCTACCAGAAGTCACTTTTTTTTTAACCTCAAGGCTAAACTACTGATTCATATGTTCAACTGCTTATTTCATATCTATAATTGGATATCTGATATGTGGTTCAGTATTACAGTGTTCAAAGCTACACAGCTGGTATTCTTCACCTCAAATCTTCTCTTTCTATGATGTTCTTCAATCTAATTAATGATGATACCATCTTTATAGTTGCTCAGAAAATCAGTTCAGGTAAAGTTTGGATTTTCTCACAAACCATGTTCAATCCGTTAAAGATTCTTTTGCTATTAGTTCACAGGATAAATAGAATCAAATGCGTTCTCACCATCTCACCTGGTAATATTTGTATTCAACAGCTTCTACCTCTTTCCTCTCTTTCTACCACTGCAACCTTCAAGTTATTCTCAACACAAAAGAGAGATTTCCTTGAGAACCATCTAACGCTTCTCAACTCACGCAGTCAAAGCATTCCCATATTGAGAGGAGTCGTGGTGGTGCAGTTGGTAATGTATGGCAAGGGCTGCTAACACAAAGCTCAATAATTGTACTATTCCTGTCATTTCAAGTATAGGCAGTCTATACCAATAAAGATTGACAGCTTCAGAAACAGGTCACTCTGAGTTGGAACCAACTCCACAGCAGTGGATTTTGATCATATGGTTCCATTAATTAGCTCTGTGCTCCAATCTCCAGCAAAGAATCTCTTTGCACACCCTATTAGAAACATATGTATCATTTCACTCTTTTTTTAATATGAAAGAGTTGAGCTGTTGAGCAACAATGAAAGAATTTTTTTTTCCCATAGAGAAATGTGAACTGGGAAGGAGGCAGCTAGGAAAATGTGCAACAATGAATGAATGAAAATCCAAGTTCTCCATAAATGCTCATTAGAAATATCATTTTTTAAAAAAAGCAAAAAGAAATTAAAACATAATTTTATGAAACAAAAAAAGAAAAGACTATGTTATGAGAGATTATCTGCAGATTCTATATTTTGGCCTGAAGGTCCACTGTGATTTACTGGGGTAATAGCTATTGTTTTATTACTTAGCGTTTGGGCTTTTAACAAGAGAATAACTCTATGTGGTCTTTTTAACATTTATTTTATTCTTTAGATTTGGAATTCCCTTCCCTGGAATTCAATCTCAGTTTTTTTGAATATTTAAACCTCACATGTAGGTCATATGCTTACACTTTGTATTAGTTAAAAGTCTACCTCATTTATTGTGTTATTTTTACCTTTTCTAGATTTAACTATTATTTTTAAAAGTTTATTTTTCCATAAATTAGTTTTCTCATTAAAAAAAAATAGAAGAGTTGAGTTACCAACTCAAGTGTTTTGAATCGACGAGCTGCTGCAAGGAAGAGAGATAATCTCCTCACAGGAAGACAGACAATCTCTTCCGATGGTATCCATAGCCTCTGAAAACCCTCTGTAAGGTCAGCCATGAGTTGATTCTAACTTGACAGAATTTAACAACAACAACATTTCTACTTTCAAACCCACTCATTGGCTCTACTGAAGAAAAATATAGAAAATGTTTCCACAGATGAGAGCCAAGAACACCCTATTGAGAAATTCTACACTGTAACACATGGGAAGCCATGAATTGGAGTACATTTGAAAGCAACAAGATTTTTTTTTATTTTTACATCCTTAACCAGAGAACTTGAATTTATCTTTCTAAAGGCCTAGAACAACCTGTAGTCACCAAGAACTGCCTCTTTCCAACCATCCATTTGCATCTCTACCATAAGCCTATTCAAAACTGCAATCCTCAGTAAAATGGATTAACACAGAGACTATAACAACGGGCGAGGGCACATCAGAGATTGTTAGCATGGCACAAGGAGGCACAAAATAGGGAAAGGTTCAGATCTACTGCTCATTGGGTTTATGCATCACAGGTGCCCTGATGGCACCTAACAACAACAACAACAAAGGGGGAAAGCAAAAACAAAACAAACAAACAAACAAAAACCAAAACACAAGCCACAACCCAAAACCTCAACTACTGCCCAATGCCTTTGAGTCACTTCAATCTAATGGCTGATCACATATCAGGTTTCAAATCCCACAGGCTGTGACTACCCATCGTTCTATGAGGAATTAAAAATTTTTATTTCATCTGCATTAAGACTTCATGGTATAAACTTCAGAAAAGCACTGGGAATTTTTTGTTGGTGTGGAGTACCTCTATCACTAGTGTTATTAATACATATTGAACAGAAATGGGTTATCATGAAAGATATAAGCAATGCCAGAGATTACCATGCTTTTAATGTGCTTAAATCATAAAGCTGAAGGAAAGGGAATTACAGACAATGTTCATTCAATTGTCTAGGATATACTTATAAGGATATTCTTGTTTTAATTATAAATAAATGCCAAAAATTCTCTTACCACCATTAAGCGATGTATTTCTTTCCATATCTCCTATCAATATTATTTATCCATTTTCCTAAAGCAAAAATTTCTACTTTCATATATAGTTTACTTTGCCATGAGACTTTTCAGTGCCTATTAAAAACAAAACACGGTTTATCTTCACCCCAGTGATATATCTATGGAAATTACTTGACTACTTCACTCTATTTACATCATTGCAGAAAAATACTTGCTTTTCAATTAAGGTCCCTATTTGTCTACCATAACCTGCTCTATCTTATTTGGGGTTTAAATTTCATGCTACCTGGTTAATTGATGTGCTGAAAGTGCATTAGCAAGCATGCACTGTGTATGCATATGTCCTCCGTGTGGTGACTTCATTCCTATCCAACTTTAGCAATGATCAATTCTTCACACATTAATTCTCCTAGAGGACTTTAAACTTTGGAAAAGGTGTACACAACAGACAAGTGTCAGGGTGTGCCCAAAAAAAAACAAAAAACAACAACTATAAAGGAACAGTGTGCAATTCTAGAATCAACATTAGACATTAGAACAGAAATTAGATGGTATTTTTTCCCTAGCTCCAAACTAAAACCAAAAACTTTCCTTCCTTACTTTCCTGTCAACACAAGAAAAACTAAAATCTACTGAAAAACTAATCTTGAATGAGTGATATTCCATTCCTTTCTTTAAAGGACTCTATTTCACATTGTCCCTGATGAAAAGGTATAGAGTTAGCCATAAAGAACTGCCTATCAAATTGTATACTCACAGTTATCCTTTCATCTTTGTCATCCAGGGGAGAGCCGTCCTTCTTCCATGAGATGGTGGGCTCCGGGTGGCCTCGCGGAGGCTGGCACTCCATCACCGCAGGCTCGCCCACCGCCACCATGACATCAGAAGGGTTCTGTCTGAAGTCATCTCGGAGTACTGTGGGAACAAGACTGAATCATTATACCCAACAGAGATCCACTTATGTCTTCATCGCTCAATATTAGCAAAAGGGGTATTTATTTAAATAAACCACGAGTATGACCTATCTTAGTACTTAACTAAATAACTCAAACTTGTTGCTGCTGAATCAGAACGAATTCATAGTGGAACTCCATTAGTCTTGTTATTGACTTTATTTTTACAGATAATGAAATGATTCATCACATTAGCCTAAAGTAAATATTAAAACATTAAAATACTGTAGAACTAGTAGTATCACTTACTTGGTAACTGTTGAAATAAATGTGGAGAATAAATCATGTAAGTACTTAAAAATGATTGACAGTCACACAATGGAATACTATACAACAAGTACAAGCAATGATTTTATACATTACTACCTAACTTGGGAGGGACTGGAGAGCATTATGCTGAGTGAACTAACTCAGTCCCATGAGAAAAAAAAATACCGTATAAAACCAATATTGTAGAATTAGTATGAGGATCCAAGGTTGAGGGGGAGGGTGGAAGGAGAGAAGTGAGGATGGGCGTTGGGAGATGGGGTTAGTCATAGGGTCACACAATTTGATGGGGGAAGGGGATGTGTGAAGGAAATGGGAAAGATCTTGTGTGAAAAAAATGAATTTGAGTATTATAAATAAATTTATATAAAATAAAAAATAAATTAAAAACAGATATGCCCATGAGGGGGAAAATGGGGGAAAACAGATATGCCCACTACAAATAAAAAAAAAACAAAAACCACAAACAAAAAGAACCAAAAAACCCCAACCTAAAACACCAGAAAAAGAACTATTCATATCTTAAATGATTCTCAGCATTTTTATCATATATATATAAATGGGTTGCTTGGCATCAGTTAGTTTTAGAAAGAAATAATAACTACATTGTTTACTAAGCAGGTAATCTTGAGAAAATTATTTCATTTTTCTCAATCTCATTTTTCCCCTCTTTACAAAACAGAGATGGAGATATTTACTTCAATACAAGGACTAATAAATGTTAATTAATCTTACTGTGGCTTCATTTTCTTAATCCAGTATGGAAAGAAAAAAATATTAACCTAATTTAAGATAGTACTTAAAATGTTTGGTATGATAAATATATAGATATATAGTGATAAAGCACCATTAATTTTATATCAAACATACAATTTGCTATCAAATATTCAATCCAATAAAATGAATGCCCAATGGTACTTAAAAATAGTTTTATAGAAGTACTAGAAAGAACAGCAATTTATGCGTAAATCCTTACTTTAAAAGCCTCTCTAACATTTTTATCCCAGTACTTCAAGTTTGCTTTGAGGTTTACAGTATATATAAATGTTTTGCAGTTATTTAAGTTTTCGTTTCCTTCTTCCATATCTAGTTGCTGTTAGTTGACTCTGAACCAACCACATCTCATAGTGATCCTAGCAAAAATGGATCAGAACCCCGCCCTACCTTGTGCAATCCTTATAATTTCTGATATACTTGATTGGGCCCACAGGTACAATCACTGTGTAAATTCATCTGGTTGAGGGCATTCTGCTCTTTCACTGATTTCTCCACCTCTCCAAGCAAGATGTTTTTGTTTGTTTTTTTTAAAAGGCCAGAATAGTACATTGACAAAGAAATGCCAAAAATTCAAGCTGCATACAGAAGAGGCCATGACATCATTGCTAATGCCAGATGGATCTTGGCTGAAAATAGAGAATTTAATAAGGATATCTATTTGTGTTTTGTTGACTGTCCAAAGGCCTTTGACAGTGTGGATCACAACAAATTATGGTAAACATCGAGAAGGACACGAATCCTATGTTATGTACCTTGGCCAAGAAGGTGATGTCCAAAAAGAGCAAGAGAAGATTGTATTGTTCAAAATCAAGAAGGGTGTGCCACAGAGCTGGATCTTTTCTCCATACCTATTCAATATGTAGGCTGAGCAAATCATTTGAAAAGCTGTATTTTATGAAAAAGACTGTGTCTTCAGGATCTCAAGACAACTCAGTAACAACCTGTGTTATGCAGATAAAACAACCTTGCTTTATGAAAGTGAGGAGGACTTAAAATACTTGCTGCAGAAGATAAAAGACTACAGCATTCAATATGGATTAAATCTCAATATTAAAAAAAAAAATCCTCACCACTGTGCCAAAAGGCAACATCATGATAGATGGATAAAAGAGTAAAAATGTCAAGGATTACATCTTACTTGCATCCACAATCAAGGCCTTTGGTACCAACAGACAAAAAAATCAAAAGACATGTTCACTGGGGAAATCGAATAACAAGGAACTCTCCAAAGTGCTAAAAAACAGCAATATCAGTTGGAAGACCAATTTGTGCCTGATCCTTATCTACTAACAATGCTACATACACACACATATATGCATGGTATGTTGTTGTTAGGTGCCAATGAGTCACTTATGACTCATTGTGACCTATGTATAATAGTTCTGAACTCTGCCCTATCCTGAGTCAATTTCACTATCTTTGATACACCATCCCCTCATTACTACAGGGGTAGGGGTGTGTGTGTGTGTGTGTGTGTGTGTGTGTGTTTATAGCAGCAATTCACAAAATCTACCTATACGAAATCTTGTTGTTTAATATGAATACTGAGACATATTGGTCACAATAGTATTATAATAATAATATAACAATATTTCCTGGGGAAATATTTCTTCATTGAAGAGCACTGCTACATTGTCTTTTGAGAGAGGGTAAAGTATGTTTGTTTGTTTACAAAAAAAAGGAACTATGATTTCACAAAGCTACTGCAATTCTAACTCTAATATTATATGTTTTATTAATAAAGTATAGAAGTATAATATATAAAGGTCAATGAATGATCTTATCATTTTTAACATGTAAGAAAGAACAGAATATAAAGATTTCCATTCTTTCATCCATATATGACTATTATTTTTTAAGAACATATCATAAATAAAATGTAAGGTTTATATAAAAAGTAAATTAATTAGCCATAAAAATATTATGTGTATTTTCTGGATAACATTACTAACCTAAATTAACACCTCTAAAATTATTCAACACCCTTGAAACAATCAAAGTTTAAATACTTTTTAAATGAAACTAAATAATTTTGTATAATTTTACTACTTGTTGAGCTTAGAACCAAGTTTGTAATACTATATCTTACTTAGAAATTGAGATTACATTTGAAATAAACCAGTGAATGATAAAACATCTTTCAAAAATATAAAAAGTCTAAGGCAGATAAATCAAGCTTGTATTTTTAATTTACTATGTCATTCAGGCTTTTACAGTATTTAATGAAAAGCTAACAAAATGTAATCCACTAAAGACTGCTTCTGAGATAACATCATGTAATTATTTTCTCAGCTGTAAAGCATAAAACCTTAGTACTGCCTATGGGTACAGAAACCCTGAATAAGAGGATGAATTTAAGATTTTTTTTTTTCTCTTCCAAAAAAAGAAATTTTTCTCCTTTGTATTGTTTTACCATTTATTTCCATTGGGTACAGATTAGTATGCGTCAAACTAAAATATATTAACTTTTAGTTAAGTTATTCAATTCTCTTAATAATGTATCTTTAAGTTAGTAGTTAAAATAAAAGTTGAATTCAGATTATAAGTAATATTGGCATAAAAAGTAATGACATATCTAAACATTGCAAAAAGAATTTTTTTAAACACACACACACACACACACACACGCACGTACCTTTCTATCTTAATACCTCCATTATTAAAGTGGATAAGTTCCATTGAAATGTTCTTGTTTGTAGATAGTGAAAAATTCTATAATTATCCACTTTTGTTTTGGGGGGGAAGCTTAATGCTAAATTTTAAGAGCAAAAAAGTATAATGTTTCAAAGTGAGTGCCACCAAGCGTTGTTAAACAAAGCAGAGTTCTCTTAATATTGTGAAAATATTATATTTTCTCCATGTTTTAGACAATTTTGTATCTTGTGAAGAAATTGGAACCCTTATTCACTGTTGGTTGGAGTGTAAAATGGTACAACCACTATGGCACTTTCTCAAAAAGTTGGCAAATAGAATTCCACTTCTGGGAATATACCCCAAAGAAACCATAACTGTCACCCAACCCAACTGCCCATCAACAAATGAATGGATAGAGCACCTCTGGCATATTCTCACAATAGAATACTATGCTGCATTGAAAAAACAAAGAACTCATGAAATATTACACAAAATGTGTGGCCCTGGAGGACATTATGCTGAGTGAAATATCTCATTCACAAAAAGACAAATATTGCATAATGCTACTGTTATAAAAGAGGACTGACATAGAGGATGAGGGCGGGGAGACTAAGAAAGAGAGGATAAATAATGTATACAACACTGAAATAGTTTAGGGAGAGAACTGTTTAAAAGAGATATATGATTATATATTATTATTATGACAGAAGTCCAGAATGATGGCTGCATAGTGCAGTGGACTTGGGGGAGGGATTGTATAACAATGAAAGAATTTTTCTTTTACTTTTTAAAGAAAAGAGCGAATGGGGGGGAAGCAGTGGGCAGGGAGAAAAGTAAAATACTGAATGAATGGAAATGCAAAGTCTCTGTAAACTTTAATTAAAATTAATAACTTAAAAAAACCAAAACAATAAAACACTCAAACTCATTGCTATTGGGTCGTGATCAACTCACAGCTGACTCTGGAACACACTTTTAGAGTCACATGATTACTTCTCTACATTCTGAGGACAGCTGGTAGATTCAGAGTGGAGGGAGGCACTGCCTTTGGGTTAGCGTCCCACTCTTTACGGACTAAAGTACCAGACCACCCTCCATGTTATCTTTATACTTACAAGGTGGTTTATATAAATGAAACAAAACTGTTTTGCTTTTCCACTCTAAATGATGGAACTATAACCTTTTTTTTTTAATACAAACAGCTGTATACACAGAAAATGGGGTGGAGTTCCCTGATCAAACATGGAAGGAGGAGTGGCATCCACTTCCCCTATGAACCTGGAG